TTTAAGCCCAGCCAGCTGCCAAGCCCAGTGCAGTTGCTGGGCACTCTCCAGCCCCTAGGATTGAGGAGAGAATTGGAAGGGTAAAAGATAAAAAACTCATGGGTTGAGATGAAGACAGTTTAAGAGGGAAAGCAAAAGCCCCATACACAAAAGCAACACAAAACAAGGAATTACTCTCCTTCTTCCCATGGGCAGCATGGGAAGCTATCCCCAGATGATGTTCAGCTATCCCCAGGAGAGCAGAGCCTGTCATCACATGTAATGGTCACTTAGGAAGACAAACACCATCACTCCAAACGTCCTCCCCTTCCTCCTTCGTTCTCCTATTCTCTATACTGGCCATGATGTCATTTGATCTGGAATATCCCTCTGGTCAGTAGGGGTCACCTGTCCTGGCTGTCCTTCCAACCTCCCATGCACCTCCAGCTGCCTTGCCAGTGTGGCGGTGTGAAAAGCAGGAAAGGCCTTGGCTCTGTGTAAGCTTTGCTCAGTGTTATAAATGATCAATCGAAAGCCAAATTACCAAAAATGCGAAAAGATTTATTTTTCTTTTTCTGTGACCAAAATACAATCCTCAAAACCATCACAGCCAAATAGACAGTCGAGCCCGGGATTGGCACTGGGTGAACCTGGATCCGACCTCTATCACATCGGACCCTCCCCCTTTCACGAGAGTCGCTTCTAGCGGGGATGTTTTAGACAGTTTATTGTGCCCGAGACAAAGGAGTCCCACTTTCTTTTGTAACTCTTCACATTCATAGTTGGTTCTTTCACTGGGCAGAGCTGGACAGTCGCCGTTTCCTGGTTGATAGCCAGCATTGATCGAATCCCGGGAATTCGCTTACTCACACGTATTTTTCTGGCGACTTCGGCTATCTTGAATAATGATGATTGCTCTTAGGTGTCTTCCTGTCTTCCGATGGCTCGGGATAGCGGTGATCATCGCACTGGGTGTGTCTACCCATAAGCTAAATGCCGATCCTTATCCTGCGGCCTTCAGGAATTTCAGAGTTTGAACAGACGTCCACCTCTTGGGCTGCTTGTGGTCAGAGACTTGTTTGGATTTCACAGTCTTTATAAAATACATTCTTTATTGCATGAATTATTTCCCAACATATATTACACTCAGTAATAACAAAAATATCTCTGTATTATCATTACTGTGTTAAGCACAAGTCCAAAACAGTCACATACTAGCTTCTGTGACGAAAGTTAACTCTGCCCTGGACAAAACCAGCACAACAGGTAAACCATGTGCTGCTCTCTGCTGCTAAACTTTAAACCCCTTTTGTTGTGTCCTTTTCTCATCCTGTCAGCAAAAGGCACCCTCATGCCTTCACATCAGGTTTATACACACAGTGTTAATATACCCCTGAGCTTTCTTATCTCCAGGCTGTACAGTCCCAGCTGCCTGGGACTCAGCTCCTGCTTCTATAAAGATACTTCGCTCCCGGTGATGGTGTCTTTATGACCTTGTGCTGGACTTGTTAAAGCAAATCCCTGTTCCTCGTGTACTGAGGAGCCCATAAATAGGCACAGAGCTTTACATGTGGCCTTTAATGCTAAGTAGGGAGGAAGGATCACCTCCCATGACCTGCTGGCAGGACTTTGTGATGCTAGCTGAGATGCTGTTGCCCACCTTTGCCATGGAGTTGTATTGTTGGCTTGTGGTCAGCTCATTGTCCATGAGAACCACCAAGTCCTTCTCCACAGAACTGTCTCCAGCCAGTCAGCCCCCAACATGTGCTGTGGCCACAGATTATCCCTTCTCAGTTGCAGGAGTTTGTATTTCTGAAGCGGTCCAGCTGGAGAAAAGTGGTCCTTCTCAGACGTCCCAGCTAGCTTTCCAGCACCGCTAGCAGTACGGCGACACTGTCCCGATCTTCATGGCTCGGGACAGCACCTAAGGCAAATGCTCTGTGCTACGACAGCAGCGCTACATTGTGGTAGGACATGGCTTGGCTTATAGCTACAGTCAGCAGAAATAAGAAGAGAGCACTCTCCAGCCGTGGTGAATGCAGGTTTATTGAGTCCCAGGGGAAACCAACAGCCGAAGAGCAGGAGGGGGAAGTTACAACTGCTTATAAGGAGGGAGAGACACAGGGGAGGAGTCAGTCCTTGGACGAATAGGGTTTCAGAGGGGAGTGGGATACAAATGATTGACTTAGGGAGAACACCAATGGGGATAACTTGAGGGTGGAGCCCTGGGCCCCTGCGTCAATCACTTGACGCTTTAGTTAGAAGTTTCTAGAGAGTTCCAGAGAGAAGGGTGGGAGCGCCAAGTGAGGGACAGGGCACTGGGGAGGGATTTGAGAAAGGGTACATTAATCTTCAAGGCATCTGGGGAGGAGTTGGGATAACTGGCAGCATAAAGGAGGGAGGGGAGAACCAGAGCAGAACCATTACATGATAGGGGGAACAGAACAGTCCAACTTATACAGACACAACACAACATATTTCTTCTTGTTGAACTTAAGATTCCTTTTCTTCTTGGATTAAATAGGAAACTTAAGATTTCCTATTTCTTCCTGTTGAACTTAAGATTCCTTTTTTCCCATTTCTCCCACGTCTGAATAGCAGCACAACCATCTGGTTTGTCAGTGACTCCTCTGTCAATGACAGTTTTCTGTTGTCTGCAAAACTTGATGAAAAGACTTTATCTTATTGTCACTGTTGTTAATGAAGGATGTTGAAGACTGTTGGTCCTAGTATCAGCCCCCGGGTATAGTGCTATGACTTGCCTTCTAGTGGTTCCCGGTTCCCTGACCGGGAATCAAACCCGGGCCGTGGCGGTGAGAGCGCCGAATCCTAACCACTAGACCACCAGGGAGAGGGTATTCTCATGGGGGCACTGGCTCTGTGCCAGGCCCGAACCATTTCCCCAGCATCTCCACCAAAAAAATGTCATGGTTCGGGCCTGGCACAGAGCCAGTGGCCCCATGAGAATACCCTCTCCCTGGTGTCTGCTGTGAGATGTGACCAGGAATAAGCAAAGCAGGCTCCAGCTTAGAAATAAAGAAAACTTTATTACCTAAACTACAAGAAAAGAAGGAAAAAAAATCTATAAGGGAAAAAATTGAAAACCTTACAAAAAGCACTTTCCTCCTCCCCACTACCAAAATTTCCCAATCCGATACATTCCCCCAAATCACCAACTGCCCAGTCTGGCACCACCCTTTAGAATACTCAAACTTCAGTCCATGAAGAGGAGAGGAGTCCTTCTTGCACCATAGGCTTCCCCTGGAAACACGCTGAAACCTCGTGTGCTTCCATGTCACTCAGCACCACCCGGAAAGTCCTTTTGCCATTTGTGACATCTTCCTTCCATGCCCAGTGCTCTCACCACTGTGCATGGACCAGAGCTGCTTTTAGGGTTGTCTTTTAAGGATGCCTTGTCTCACTCCAAAAAAGGCACAGTCTCTGCTTTGGGACATCTGTCCCCCCCATTTTTTTCCACCCCCTGGGGCCGAGGGGTACCCACAATGAACCCTCCTGGTTCTGAGGCACTGCCTCCCCCTAAATGCAGTCTCTGTGTCACAGGAATAAAACTGGTTCAGTCTATGGCCAACAAGAAAAGTACAGCCAAAAGGCCACTCCAGTCATCTCTCTCCCCACTCAGCTAGTCTTCTCCACTTCCCTCGGGCCAGGTCCTTGTTATCTCATCTCTTATCTCTCTTCTTATTCAGCTCCCAGGAGGATCTGCATTTTTGCGAGGTCCCAATCATGAAAGAAGGGGGTTAAAAATTTCAGTCTCTGCCTGTCCCAGAGGTCCGGCACTCCCACAGTCGCTGCTGCTCCGGCCGGGCACCTTCTCGCTGCACTCCCCCCCCTTCTCCTCCTTGGCCAGCTGCTATCACATTCGTCGCCGGCTCTCCCTCTCTCTCTCCTGGGAGAGCTGGCGGGGGGGGAAGGGGGGGGGGGGGGGGGTGGCTGCCCGATGCCTCCTGGGGCTCCTCCACCCTTCCATCCTCAAGGGCCTCCTCACCCCCCATCTCTGTCCAGCCCCGGGCCTACCACATAGCTGCCCCTCCCCCGCCCAGCAGCAGCAGCTGGACGAGGGAGGGCGATCCAACCTCTTTGCCTCAAAGTCCCAAGAGAGCCTCCCAGGGCCGAAGCTCTGGTTTTTAACCCCTGTGTGTTCTTGGAGGTGTGTCCAAACCCCACTGGCCACACCAGGTGCCAATATCAAAATCCGAGCACCCATTGGTTTGACCACAGCATCCCAGAATTCCCACTTCTTCCTGGTCAAACCACCACAGGAGGGTATGTTTTGATCCAGATTTTTCCTGTGGTCTCAGGGACTTGAGGTTCCCAAGGGCCTGTCTCACTGATAAAGACTGATATAAAGAGGGCTGTTCCTCAGTGTCATCTATGTCCTTATCCATCAGGTCCTCTGTTCATTCAGTAAGTGGGCCCCACCCTGAGACCTTCCAGCTTGCTACCACCACCACCACCTGTTCCCTCCATCATGCTTTCTTAACCAGAAGGGACCTTTTCTCCCTGAAAGAGACTCCCTTTCCCCCACCCCCAGCAATGATATGAGGTGGTATACAATAACTCCAGGTGCTGGCCTACTGCAAAAATTAACTCTAGTGATTGGGACCAGGACACCCAGTTTCCTTCTGGTATTTTAAGTGCAAATGGTGCACTTGACTAGACCTACCTGATTAGCACTGTGGACTGTGAAATGCAAAGCATCTTGGGACAGACAGTCTGTTCTCATCTATAGGGCTAGAGAATGTATTCTGGAGAAGTGATCAAACAGTTTGAGTGTAGCAATTCTGTAATCTCTATTCCCTCTGCTATTTGACGTGCTGGATGTTTTCAGCAATCAACATAATTTTGTGAAATAATATCTACTGCACAAAAAAACAAAAAATCTTCCTTATAATCTTATTAAGAGAAAACCAAACTATTTTATGAACACATTTTTCAGTACAAGGTTCATAAAAATGCATGTTGTTTTTAAATTTGCATTTACTTTGTTTTCTTTTCTGCAGAATCTCAAAGTTACACGGAGGCCATTAACCTCTCTGTGGTGATGTCTGATGGCACCGTGGGCACTAACTCTTCTTTGCTGAGGGCCAACATGCAGACTGATCCCTCTTTTCAGCGCTGTTTTGCATCTTCATCTACTATTACAAATAGCAGTCCTATCCCAGGGGCAGAAAGGTAGGAAAATATTCTCTTCCATTATTGTTTATTTCTTGTAATGATAGTTCCCAGACAAAACATTATGCTTGCATCTTCACTGCAGACCATTTTCTAAGAACTTTGAGGTGGGTTGTCACATTTATTGTTGGAGTCCATTGAATGGATTTTAACACATACAGAGGTGTTACTTTTATGTGAGGGACACAATTAGCTTTGAACATAAGTGAGAAGACACAGAATTTTATCGCTCAGTTATGTTATTTGTGCTAGCACATATATGTAGCTCATATATAAGCTCATATATATTTTTCTGTGTGCTTAACTGGCGTCTCTGATGTTTAACTTAAAGCCATGTCAGGAAAATTCACGTTGGAATAAGCTGTATATGAGAGAAAGGGAGAACTCTTCTCACTGCAGACATGTTTTTAGTCAGTAAAATGTCAGTAGATCTGCTTTGGTAGTGTATAGCTGATTGCCTTTCAACTGATCAGCAGGCTTAGAAATTTTATTGTATTACAGTTAGATTGTGGTAAACATATAGGGCTCTTGACGATAGTGTGAACTGTATAAATTTACAAAGTAGTTCTTGTCCAAAGGAGCTTACAGCATAAGCTAAGAAATGGCAAGAAACAGCAAACTAACAAGGAGTCCCTAGTTACTGTTAGAATGATCAGAAGACTATAACAATGCGTGATCAGTCATTAGTTGTGCGCTATATTTACTCAATAGACGAGGTGGTACATTAGGCCTGAAGAAGTTGCCTTCTCTATCACTCTGCGAAAACATTCCTTTCTGGCTAATTATCCTATTCTTGTTTTTAGCTATTTGGCTCCTTTTTCACAGTGAGTATTTTGAATACTTCTGGTTGGAGTGTCAGAGTGTCAGTACTTCAAGTATGTCATTACCTATTTATCTTTTATTTATCTTCCAATCTAATTGGTTTCATTTTCAGTCAGTACTGAGACTGTGAAATAATGTTTTGGTTTTGTGATTACAGATGTGAACCTTAAGAGGGAACAAAATATGTTGGTATTTGCTGCAGAAGAGGCAGTGTAACAATTACAAGTGGATATGTATTAAAAGCTTATCAGTCAATTCAGTCATTATCAAGTTTACATTCCTACTTCAGACTTTATCTAGAAAATTTTGTTTGCTTCTTTCTAAATACTTTTTCTATAATTTTTTTATTTCACCTAGAAGATAGCTACAGCTCTAGAGGAGAGGTTTTTTTCTTGCAGTAATGTCTTCTTCAATTTGCTTACCTTCCATTTCTTTAATGGCCTTTCTAATTTGAGCTGTTTAAATCGACTGGCATTCATTTCCACAACTCCCTTTTAATTAAAAATCCTTTCTTTTTTTATATATATCTTATGTCAGCTTTTTCTCTTTGCATTTCACATTGAGTTTGTTCTCTCTGGATTTGGTAATATTAGTAATCTTTCCAGCTACAGCCTAAGGGCATTTCATTTTCAGAAGCAAAGAGACAGCTTAAACTTTTATCAAATGATTTTATCAGGTGCTTAGTTTCCTTTGTTTGGAAGGACATTTTTTTTATTTTTTACTTGGACAAGTACAATTGCTACCCAGTAGAAAAACAGAATGTTTACTGTTGAAATATTTAATTCTATAAATCAGTTTTTCCACCAAATAAATTAACCACTGGATCTGCCTCTTTCTTTTTTTTTTAAGTATAAATTGTATTGAAATAGATCTGGTCTGCAACTTATTCCTTGTGAACTGTGTTCTTACCATTATCACAGTTACTGATTTGTTGTGTGATGGTGCATAACCACCTCCTCAGCCCATTTATTTTCATTTTTATTTTGATGAGCATAAGACACTCTGTATGCAAGAGCTGGTATGGCCATGTCATGTTTCTTCCATAATGTCTACCTCTGTGCAGCTTTGGCATAAGAAATTGTTGCCTCCTATTGTTATTTTTCAGGTAGCACTTTAGCTCATCAGTACAGCTGTATGTGAAGCAATGCTGCAAACAGCCTCACTAAACCTCATATTAAAACTAAATCCCTCAAACAGGGAGAAGTATTTTTAGCTGTCATTATTTTCATGGACTGGTTTACCGAGCAAACTCAGAAACTATCCCATCAACATGGCTAGGTGGAGGGTGAGATAAGACAGAGCATAATGGATGTACATTGAAGAAGTTACTGGTCAGGATGAGGTTGGAATCCCTTGATCTAGCTGCATTACATGGTCCAGCATGTTTTCAATGAGCACCCTGGGATTTTTTTTGTCCTGTCATGTTTCATTTCTTTCAATGGCCACTGAAGTATGGGTTGTACAGTAACATTTTAAGGGAATGATGTGGCTGCTGTTTTGTTTTTGTGTTCAATTTTTGGCTTTTTTTTTTTTTTGACAGCTCTTCTGTCACAGAATATCCTTGGCTTGAAAACAGCTCTAAAGCTTCCCTGTCAACCCAGTTTTCAGTGGGAAACACCAGGCAGCCAGGAGGTTACCTTGTGCCCTCTGAATTTTCAAGTGCTGTGCAGGATATCTCTCTCCTGTCTCATTTCCAAACTCCAGGAATGCAAGTTGTCACCCTGAGCAACCTGGAGAGTTCACCAGCAAAGCCACACCAAGAACATGGTATCAGCAGCAGTGCCCATGCCTACCTGAGCTACAGCACTGGTACCAGGGACAGTAGCTCATCCCAAGAGGAGACACAAGCTACTTGCATAGCCAATGCTAGCACATCTAAAACGTTGAGCTCATCAGTGGCAAGTGCTGATGACAATGACTTTTTGATGCAGAACTTTCTCACAGTGACCTCTGGACACAACAGCCGGAACAGTGCAGTTTCACATCACCATGGAGGGAACCTACATGCTCAACCTCCTCTTCCAGAGAAGACGAGGTCCTCTGAAGGAGAATGTTCCGTTTACTCTGTGTCACCGTCTTCAAGTGGCTTCTCTAGCCCTCACAGTGGAAGCACAATCAGTATTCCCTTCCCAAATGTCCTCCCAGATTTCTCAAAAATGTTAAGCCCTTCTCCAGTGCCAGGTAGGTTCTGTATCAGAGAAATGCAAAATACATTAGATTTTATATGAATTTATAAAAAGATTTGTGGGGGTTTTAAAAGTGGAGAGAGAAAAAAAATAATGGAATGAAAATGTCACAGAGGACTTGAATGTTTGCAGTAAATGGTTGCCAGTTTCTTGTCTTTGGATGCAGTATTGAGGAAACAAGGCTTCAGATTTATTCCTCTGCTTCCTAGAAGCCAGCCATTGGTCAGCTTACTATTTCAGCTGTCAGATTACAGTGGACCAGTGTTGAGTTCAATTTCTTTTAAAAATGGCTGGCTTCTCTCTGTACCTTTTGGAGTTGTGCCAAGAAAAGTAAAAGATGTGCATGTGCGTTCGTTGGGCCCTGTTGAGAAGTTTGTATTTAATGCAGCTTTATAATGAAAAGGTTTTAATATTTTAGGATTTTGCAAAATGAAACATCGAACATGCTTTCAAAACCTTAGTGTATGTTATTATATTTGCTGGTTCTAAAACAGCTCAGTTTCTCTAAAGTAATGATGAGTTTTTTGAGTAATCATGGTGATTGGGAGTCGGAAAGAAAAGTAAAAGCACTTTTGTATTTTAAAACATTCTTGACTTTTTTTCCTTTTTATTTCACAGAAGACACGGCTGATAAACATGTGACCGTAAAATTTGTTCAGGACACATCCAAGTTCTGGTATAAGCCAGATATTTCAAGAGAACAAGGTATATTAATTGATAAATATTCTGACATATCCGTTCATAGAAAAACTATTTAGTGAAGTCTTGATTTTAGATACATACCTGATCTCTAAAAGAAATATAAAACTAGAAAGGCCATAGACAACCCCTCTTGTTTCTTTTGTTGAAAGGCTGAATTTGAGTGTGGAGGGCAGTCAAATAGTCCTGAAAAATTTTCAGTTAATCAAACAAATTGTTAACCTAACTGAACTAACTATGAAGTAATATAGATCTACCTGTGGTAGCTGCTGCAAATGCTCTTTGGGTGTGAAGCTGCAGATTTTCAAATGGCAGATATGCATGAAACAACACCAAATGGCTGTCTGCTCTCTGAAACCTTTTGAGGGTAAGTGTGCTGTTCTGACATGATCTCAGCATAATTCATTACCTAGGTCACCACGAAGGCATCGTCACCCACCAGTCATTTTGTAGCCTGAATTTCAATGTCAAGTGACATACATTATTTCTTAAAGGTCAGTACCATGGAACAACATCTTTCTGATGTATGATGCAGATACAGCACTTTCATTTGTAGATGTATTATTCAGTGAACTGAAGAAATTTTTTATTACCTATGTGAAAGTTAATACTTATGAGCACCTGGGGTACTGCATCTGGCATACAGGAAAGACATAGACCTGTTGGAGTGAGTACAGAAGAGGGCCACAAAGTTGATTAGAGGGATGGAGCACGTTTCCTATGAGAAAAGGCTGAGAGAATTGAGATTTTTCAGTCTAGAGAAGGAAAAGCTTCGAAGTGACCTAATTGCAGCTTTCCAGTACCTGAGTGGAGCCTACAAGAAGGATGGGGAGGGACTTTTTACAAGAACATGTAGTGGTGACAGGGCAGGGTGAAATGGTTTCAAACTGAAAGTAGGTTTAGATTAAATATTAGAAAAAAAATATTTACTGTGAGGGTGATGAGGTGCTGGAAGAGACTGCCCAGAGCAGCTATGGGATGCCCTCCACTCATGGAAATGTTCAAGACCAGGCTGGATATGGCTCTGGTGTAATGAAAGTTGTCTCTGTTCATGGCAGGATCATTGGAAGTAGATGATCTTGAAGGTTCATTCCAATCAGGCCGTTCTTCCATGATTCTATGAACTTAGACACTGTCCCTACAACAGTACATATATAAGCATGCTGGGTGCTCGTTACAATCCACTAATCATAGAGGAGCAAAGTGAGCTCTCTGTGGGTTCCGGATAGAAACTTCAGGTTTGAATATTCTGTGAAATGAGACTAAAACCAAACAAGGTTAAATGTTGATACCAACAAATTGATGTATTTTATTTAACAGTAAATGAGAAAGAGAAAGAAATAGAAAAAGAGGTTGTGGGGGGACAGGAAGAGTGACAGGAACAGATTAAGTAGAAATATATCTCTCCAATGTGGGTCCCAAGATTAATACAAGTTGGGCCCAGGTACCTCCTCTGAAGGGGGATACTCTCTCTTGCAAGACTGAATCAGTTGCATCACTTTGCATCATGCGTAGTGCTGTGGTGCAGGGCCTCAGGAATGAGTCTTTTGGAGTGCTTTAGGGGTCTTTGTTGGATTATGACACTTCCTCAGCTGCCCCTCACATGAGTGTCCTCCAGATGTGGCTTTCCCAGAGTGGGGAGTTTTACAGCTGAGCCAGTTTGTGTAATGGAGGGTGGATGTTCACTGTGTCTGTCCAGAGGTCATGACATATACCCAAAACTGTCCCCCCCTCCCCTCATCAGCAGTTGGGGAGGAGTCTGTGCAGGCCTGGCTGCAGATAAGCCTGTGGACTATGGCCTCCACCCTGAAGCCAGCTGGGGATGATTTTCAGGACAGCTGCTGAGCTTGGACCTCCTGTGAATGCATCCTTCTCTCCCAGCCTTACCCATTTCTTATCAAACCTGAGATGATTGAAAAACAGTGCCACTTCTATCTTATCTCAAGCTCTTTTATGTGGCTTAGCTCGCAGTTCAGGGTTTCAGTCAGGAGGTCCATTCAGAGTGGGGTGGGCTTTGGTGGTGCAGCTTCATTGCTGCAGCTTCATTACACACTTTTGCCATGATGGGCAAAAGTCCTTTATAACAGTGTTTCAGCCATGAAACTATAACATTTCAGTCTCTGGCAGTGCTTTCCAAATGCAGTTGGTCTGACTGTGCTTGTGTTTATACTGTAATAGTCAGCTACAGTGAATTGTGATTAATGAGATAAGGCAGGATTTTAAGCTGGGATTTTTTAAAATGTGGCTCTCAAAAATGAGCAATTACTAACTAGTTCTACAATGAGAAAGATATTCATACTAAACCAAAATAGTGTGAACTTCACCCAATGGCAAATGATGAATTGCTGTGTCTGTCTAGTTATTATGTTCTTAGATGGTGAGGAAGTTCTTTTGTGGTAAATAGAATGCTTGGGGAATAAAGATCATAGAAAACAGAACATTAATTCATTTCTGGATGATACTTTGCTGGTCCTTTCGTTATCTACTGACCACCCATAATGAAAAGTGAGTCTTGAAATATGCGGAAAAATACCTCATGGGACATAGATATAAAGCAATTTAAAACCTAACTGCTTGAACAAATGAAACAACAGTCTTCCCAGCCTTTTAATATGCCTCTTTTCATCCTTGAAGCAAAACTTCATTTAAAAAATGTTCTAAGGTACTCTTGCTGATCTTTTTTGATCTTTTTTCCCCTGAGTTTAATAGACTGCTCATGTGACAAATTATTACTGCATCCCTTTGTATTTAGAAGTGTTATGTATTGCTTAATTGCAGGGGTTTGTGTATTCATCCTTATCCTCTCAAAACAAGACATATTGTTGTGAAAAAAGGTTCTTTATTTTGCCATCTGACAGATGAAGATAATAGAATGCATATGTTTGCTTTACTTGCTTTGATAGAAGAGATGTCTGCATTTTCTGATTTTGTTTTTACTTCCCCTTTTTTCATGAAATGAACCTTTGCTTTGTAAACATTGCTCAGGCCTTGCAAAATATGCCTTTGTGCCCCATACACATAATATCCATGTTCTGTATGAACAGTCAATTAAGGAGTCCAGCATCAAATTTGGGCTCTTTCTAGGGTTTCTCTGAAGGCATGCTGATGGCTGGAAATTCTAGGAACAAAGTATACCGGTGTACACACGTATTTGTAAAACTTGTATGGGGGAGGAAAGAAAGCAAAGTACAAAGATTTTATTAAGATCAATCATTAGATTAATTTTTGTCTGTTTTCAAAGTAAGTTTAAAATTTTGGGCTGCTAGATTTCAAAGTCTGCAACTGACTTGTGCAAAGTTGCAGCAATTTCCCTGCAAGTGTTCCCTCTTGGAGGGGATTTCATACTGCACTTGCAGAAGAGATCCCAAAATACAGATGAAAAGTACTTCAAAGAGCAGAATATACACTTACATTTCTTCCTTTGCTTCAAAACTCCTAAGGCAGTAAGGTAGCTTTGTAGGGACAAAAACTTGGTGGTGGATGAAAATGAATCTGTCCTGCCTGTTGAGGCTGAATAGGAAGTGAAAAACAGTGCTATCTAGTCAATGTGGGAATTACAGAGAGGTATGCAGTCTTTTAAAAAATTGACAAAAGTTAAGCAGAAGTAGACTGGCTCTTGCACTGGTTGTAGGAATTCTGGTGGGACCTGAGCACTCCTCTTAGTTTAAAAACCAGTAAAAATCAGGGTTCTGTACTGCAGGCTTCTTTTAAAATAAGTGTCTGTTAGATTTGGACAAGGGGTTTCCACTCAGGTCCCCCAAATACACGTGATTGTGTTCCGTTGCATGGCAATGAGGATAGAGAAAATGATCTTACTTCTTCTGGTGTCCTATTCATTATACATTTGTGCTTCTGTACTTTCTGAGTGTGTGCATTGTGCTTGAACTGTTTTTCTGTCTCTTTCCTGGAATCTCTTGCAGCCATTGCTGTTCTCAAGGAAAAGGAACCTGGGTCTTTCATTGTTCGAGACAGTCATTCTTTCCGGGGAGCCTATGGGCTAGCAATGAAAGTTGCCACACCACCTCCTTCTGTGCTACAGTTAAAGAAAGGTACTTCTGTGTGTTTGTGAAAACGCTATATATAGTAGGTAGTCCTTATTGGTGGGTAGCAATCTGTTGGAATCTTCCCCTCTTCTCATAAGCGCAACTTGAATTGCAGGTTACATTTGATGTGTTGTTAAATGAAACTGGATACGATACCTGTTATACTATATGGTTTCACCATGACTTCTGTTGTGGCTGTGTATGTGTTGTACCTCATCAGCCTAATGAAAATCAGTGTCACCTCAGCAATTGGTCTTCCCTAGCAATCAGAAGTTTGCATTTGATTCACAGGCTACAATGTAAAGTTTTCACTCTACTGGAGGGCTGAATATTTTTAATCCCAAAGTTTTGTTTTGAGACAGTTCTATTTCAGATAAAAATCTAAAGAGATTCCTAAGGATAATTGTTTAAAAGAAGTGGTGATCTGTATATCTACTCTATCAGCTCTAGTGCCTCCATATATAACTTGTGCCTGATGGTTGTGAAACATAAAGTGAGAAGAACATGCAGAAATCAATAATTGGTATATGGAAACTCAGCAGTCAATATCTGTAATGTTCTTGGTTTCATTTGTACTACTGCAAGGTTAGTGGAGTGGTTTTTGTTGCTGCTGTTTTTCTTTTTCAAGGCTTATTATGTTTCATTAGTACATAATGACTGGTGAGGTAGGCAATTAAGATTACATTTATTCTTAGTGTTGTTTTTATGGAAGTATGGTTTTGGCTGTTTTGGTTTGTTTTTTTGTTTGGCTGTTGGTTTGGATTTGCTTACTCTTTGGCAACTGTTAGCAGTTCACCTCTATTACAGTAACACTTTAAATCTGTTTTATTCTGGTGTCTTGAAACAATTTTTAATCACAACTTGCCATGTAGTCCTTTTTGTTGCCAATAAACATCAGCAGAACCACTCCAATGACTTATGTAATGAACTCAGCGTACGTGTACCTGGGCTGGTGATAGCAACAACTACGAGGCAAATTGAAAGTGGCTTGTAGGGTGTTTCTAGTAGTCTTTTCTTATTTGTGAAGTCCAGGAAGACATGAAAGCTCACACTCTGCTAGACTTTAAGAGACAGTTTATGTTAGTAGAAGTAAGACTAGTATTCTTCCACTTCTCACTTCATGATACTTAGCTTTTCTGGTTTCCCTTGTTTAATCCCAGAAAGCACAGATTGGTTCTGTTTCCTGTAGTGTTTCTTGTTCCAGGCTTCCCCTCCCCACATATCTTGTAGTAATTTATTTTTAATTTGGTGGGACCGTAACAGCAAAGAGTAAGCTGTTTGAAAAAGCGATCAGTGCAATATTTGCTTGCATAGAAGTTTCTGCTGTCCGTATTAATGCATTCATCTGTATTATTCATCTGTATTGGCCTGAAGGTCAACCCTTGAGGTGTTTCCTGACAGATCAATGGGAACATCCGTTTGTAGCTCTTTTGTTAAGGTTTGAATGGTTTGATAGCTTTGTCCTGTTGGTATGAAATAACCTTTTAGCTATTTGGAGAAGGATTAGTTTTGTATGGTATGAAATACTGTCAATCCATCTTCCAAGAAATAGTTGTCTTAATTATATGTCTGCATATATATGTACACGTTTAAAAGAATGTTAAATCTTGAGTGATTTTGTATGCGTCTCTTGGACTTTGAATCTCCTCTTTTCATCCAACTCTACAGTTTTGGTTTGTCTTCAATTCCTGAGATTAAAATTGTCTTAAGAATCTAGTGAAACTCTAGTGCTTCATGTAAATGTTTGTTTTCAGATGCAGAGACATAGCATAAAACTGCAGACATTTAGAAATGTAAAAATGCACTGAGAGAATTGTGATCATTACTTTTGTGTAGCTTAATCTACTCTTCTTTTAATCTGGGGAGCTTCTGTGAACAGAAATATCACTGGAAATGGGAATATTTTTTCATACTTCTCTTCCTTGTCACTTTGGATACAAGTTCTTTTAATGGGCAAGTACATCAGAATTTCTAACCACTCATTTTCCAAATTTCTGTTCCTGTCTGTAGCTGGGACCATATTTGGACATTTTTGAAACCAGTGTATATTTGGATGTCAGTCACTTAAGAATATAAAACCATTTCCTCTGGCTGTCTGAAGTGAGCTGTTTGCTTATTCGTTTTTTGAAAAACAACCTTTTAAATACATCTTGTAACTTGCAGAATAGGTCTAATTGTAGTCTTTGCATTTTGTATGTAAAACATTTGGTAGTAATGTGGAAAAACTGCTTCACAAATACCTAGTTTCTGAGAGTTGTCTGTTAATTGCTTCTTTTTATGAGCTTTATTTTTCAACACAGTTGGAGATTCATCAAATGAACTTGTAAGGCATTTTCTGATTGAATGTACTCAGAAGGGGGTACGCTTGAAAGGATGCCCGAATGAACCATATTTTGGTGAGTACTGTGCATCACAGGGACTGAGAAGATGGAAACAGTTGGCATTTGCCAGTGCTGGCTTGGATGGAATACAAATGAGACTACTTTGTTTGAGTCCTGATGACTGCTGTAGGAACCCGTTCCAAGGTTCCAGGAGCCTTTAACACATTTACTTTAAGCAGATATGCAGGGCACTCTAGCATAGATGCATGTGACCAAGCTTCAAACAAGTCAGGCTTGTCTACCACTACCAGTGTAGCTGCAGAAAGTTGAGCTGAATCACTCTTATCATCCTAATTGATTCAGGACCTTTTATCCTGTGTTATATTTATGCTGCATATTAGGTGGCTAAAAATGACACCAGAATGAGATATTCACAAAGTACAGTTATGCTATATCAGTACATTATTTAATGTAATATGATGAAACTACAATACCCATAATGGCAAACAGCCTACCTAGATGTTGACTCATTTTCTTTCCACTCATTTGGGGTAGGAGGGGAAAATAGGATCGGAGAGCTTATGGGTTGTGATGAAAACAAGGAGATGCTAACCAGTTACAGTGCAAAAGAAACTCAACTTGGGGAAAATAATTTTAATTTTTTTCCAATGAAAATCAATATTCAGGCAGTCAGATGTTGAGGGATACATTTAGTGAAGGTAGCTGGGTTTGCAAGCTGAAAGTGCAGACTGCAGATTGATCTGTGGGTGTCCCAGTCAAGAGGCCACGATCTGCTGACTCTTTGCATAACAGAGGGCCCGGGGACCTGTATGGCCCTTTGTTATGCAAAGAGTCCTGCACCTCCTGACCACTCAAGAGGTGCAGCAGCAGCAGCCAACCCCCAGACTTTCCTGCCTTTTGATTGTACAGGTATCTCTGCTCAGAGGCACCCAGTTTGAACTGTTATTTTGTTATTAAGTTGTTGCACCAAAATTAAATTCTTTTAATGATCTGGAAGTCTGAGACTCTGTTAAGGGGAACCTGGGGTTGAGCTTCTGAGGAAACATCTTACTGTTAGTGCAGGGTGTGTAGCTGTGAAGGGGCTTTGAGTACCAGCTCAGGTGGTGCAAGAGTGACTGCCAGAATGGCTCCTGGATGGTCAGACAGAGAAGTTTCCTTAACATGAGAAACAAAGACAAGTATTAAATAACACTTTTCCTTCCCCTTTTCCAAGCTCAATTTCACTGCTTCCTCTCAGACTCCTCATGCCCACTGCAGCAGGTGTGAGGGCATATGGTCATTACAGAGCAGTTCCTCTGCTGCTTCATCTCTGTCGCAGTTTTTCCTTCCTGGGATGTGGGCTTTCCTTGTAGGCTTCCCTCCTGCAGGAAAAGAATATATCTGTTTGACCATGTGTTCTCCGTTTACCACAGAAAATGTCCCATCTTTTCCAATGTGAGGTCCTCCAGAGGCTACAGGGTGAGGGGACGGCAACATGGATACCCAGAACATCTCTTTTTCCTCCTCCTCTGCCCATGACATTCTCTCTGCTGTGTCTCACCCAGCCTTTTTTCCATAGGTGCTCTGCAGTGGGTCTGCTGGAATGGGCTGTGTTTGCCATGAAAAGCTCCCCTGAACTTTACCTAGTGGTCATCCTGGAGCCCTCCCACCCCCTGTTACAGTCCTTGTCACATACACCAAATACACCTGTGAAAGAGTCATCTATCATAAAATTAAGAGATGTGAAATAAAATCACATTTAATATAAAGGTGGACTGAATTTTATCAGTATTTGGCATGAGACTTACCTTAAATGAGAACTTTTAGTCCATTACTCAGTCTTGAAGTACCTGTTTAGGCACCTATGTAGTCCTACTAGTCATTTAGTTTGAACTGGTCTTTCAGTTTGTACAGCCTATGCTGGTTTGAAAATAAACCACAGTGAGAGATGAACCCCACACAAATACCTTGAGAGCAGGTCAGTTACAATTTAATAAAAATTACTACTGTAAATGCAGTGATACAGAAAAACTGGCTTAAACTCACTAAGAGTACAATCTTGCACCCTGTTGGTCTGGGTGGTGGTCGCAGTCTGATTAAGCAGTGGTTGTTGTCGTGTTGAAGTGATGATTGCAGTCTTGTTGAAAGCCGTGAAAGGTTTGGTCTTCCTCTGGGTCTGTTGAGCAATGGTGGTGGTGCCCCAAGTCCCCAAAACCCCAGATGATAAACAGGTTCAGGTGGTACCTCCCTTGGGGTGGGGAGTTTCACAGTGGAATGGTGTAATACTCTTGAGTCATTGCAGTCATCCATTCTTGCTAGAGCCACTGAGTCCACGATTGCCCCTGAGCAGAGATGACCCCCTCAGGATGGGTGTAGTTACCATGCCTGAGTTAATTGTGAAGACCATTGTGCCTTGCAGGGTTTGCCTCTTCTACCTTATCTAACATCCAGTCTGAAGGGTTGGGTGCACACTGGGCAGCTGTTAAAAACGACCCACTGTTAACACTTCATCAAGTGTTATGTAGATGGGAGTAGAATACATAGCTTGGTTACACCCCACATTGTAACCCAGGACACAGGCTCAAAACTGGTTCACAAAGTAGGTGAACAGGCACAGCTACACATGTTTACGGGTAAGATCATGAAGGACTATTAGTATCGATCAGTCTTTGCATTTCTGTAAGACTTGTAGAATTGGGTTATCTTTCTGTTTCAAAAATTTTTTTGATGGACTGTAAAGATGCGGTTGGTTTTGGTTGAACTGGGATTTTTCTCCAGCACATGGTTATAATGTTTGCTGCTTGTTAGTAAATAGGATTGAAGGATGGCTTTTTGTACAGACAGGCTGATGAATACTATGCCTTCCTCTCACTCCTTATAGTCTGACATGCTCATATCAAAGGTAACTAATATTGAATTACTTCAGTTAAGCCAAGACCAAATTGCAAGAGTGACTTTGAATAGAAAGGAGGAATCATTTAATAGAAATTCTATGTACATCACTGCTGCCTTAAATGGAAGAGGTTTTACCTGGACTATCTTTTATACTTTCAGAATTACAAATAGAGGTATGTGTAGACAGAACACTAGATGATGAAGACTGGCTAAGAAGTAGAACTTGCTTTTTATTTACCTCATCATGTTTCACAAATGACTTCATGTGCTCTTGCCACCTTCATAAGAATTTACTACATTTAATGTAGCAGAAGCTAAGAGTGTTGAAAAGAATTTACCGACTTGTATATGTTACTGATTTTGTAAGTTTGTGCTTTCTTCATTTGAAGCACAGACATGTAGGTTAGGGTCTAAGCAGTGTATATAAGAGGGAAAGGGAACATATGATTGTGATTACTGAGTTCAAGAAGATCTTGGCTTAGGTCCCAAGAGATTTTTAAAGTGACGCAGAGGGGGCTCTTAGTCTATAAAATACTTGAGAGCAAACATAACTTAAGCATTCTAGTTGCCTACCAAGTTAACTGTGCATATCTTGTTACTTTTCTGTCCACAGGGAGTTTGACAGCTCTAGTGTATCAGCATTCCATCACTCCACTGGCATTGCCCTGCAAGCTCCTCATCCCAGACAGAGGTATGCATGTTGAAGTACAGAAGAGATATTCCCAGCCAAGTTTTGCTTCAAAGTGTCAGTGTCTGAAGGCAGGTGAATGTGTTACAAGTTAAGATCGAAGCAAAAACTCAACAAGGAGAAAGCTGTGGGTTTGTCTTCAGTATTGGTGATGACCCTTATCCAAAGTGTGGGTGTGAGCATACTGGTACTGCGATATTCCAGTCATAAGCGTATATTCATCCTGGAAATCCACGCAGTAATGTACCATGTGGGAAGACAAATGTCCTTCTTAGACAAGACATTATGCCAGTGTATGGTTAGATTTAACCACTCATTCAGGTCTGGTTAGCAAAAGGACAAGTAGATAAAGAGTAGATGGTGCCCTGAGTGCGACACTGGCAGGAAGTGTAGCAACTTGCACAGGTTCAGATATTGTTCAAGTAAATGATCAAAAAGCCCATGTTGCTTCATGGGATTATGATTCTAATTTTGCTTATACTGATTTCATAAACCTCTCTTAAGACAAAAACAAAATGCTCATGCTTGTCCAGTAATTCAGTTGTCTTATGTTCTCCCACATAAAGTTAACCCTTTAAACTTTTGTCACCGATCATGTGTTAATATACAAAAATAGCATTTGATTTATGCAAATACACCAATTAAACCATTTTAGCACAAAAATATGCTCTGGTAGATGTGATGAGATCTCATGCATTTGTATGGCGAAACAGTGTGGAGGTTGGCTTGTTCCCTTTATCCCCTTCACCTAAGATGGAAAAAATTGCTCTGTTCTTCCAGAGGTACAGGTCTGGAACATTTACCTTGTCTTGAATAAACATACCACAGTGAAATTTTATTTTGGTTTTATTTTTTAATACAATTTGATTATGCCTTTTAAGATGATTTTCTGTAGTTAATGACAGGATACATTGCCTGGAGTATTTAAAATATTTGGATAACTGTAACTAACCATATGAATAGTGTCACAAACTGTGTTATGGTATTATGGCTCTCTTCCTCATTTGATTATATTCAAAGACAGCACACCTCATGCTAAATGCAGCAGCGAGATCTTTTTACATGCATTTATATACCTGAAATAACATGTTGGTGGACAGTTTTCTTACTACTTTTAGCAATCAATTGGGAGGAAATGTTCCACTGCTGTCTTAATGGTTCAGATGGTTTTTTTTTCAACTTAAGAAGAAGGTTTTGTTATCCTCTGGATCAAAACATAAGTAATTGATTTCATCATGGTAACACAGAGTCTTTTTGTATAAATTATGCAAATCAAATAATATCATTAAAATCACACTAGTCAAGATATTTTTGGCTGTAGTGAGGGAATACAGGTATAAGTACTGTCTTAATATGTAATCATGTGAGCCCCTACAGCATATGCCTGTGTTATGTTTTTTATTGTCAGGAAATAAAAGTTAAGCATCCTGCTTGCAGTGCTCAAGGCAAAAAAGCCCTGATGGAACATAGATGATTATAATTGCAGATAAAAGGTGGTTTCATGTTTCTGGCCAAGAGTTGTTCAGTAAATGAGATCACAGTTATAAGTGTAACAGCTCATATGTGACTATGGACTTTGATTTGTTGATTTAAATCCATACAAGACATGCACAGTGTTTTCTGTTTGCAGATCCCTTGGAGGAGATAGCAGAAACTTCTCCACAAACTGCTGCAAACTCAGCTGCGGAGCTTCTCAAACAGGGTGCAGGTCTGTTAAACTTTTATCCTTGTATTTGGCTTGTTTACCAAAGTTTGTATCTTACAGGCTGGTAGAAGCTGAAGCTTAGACTGGATTAAAGGATGTATAAAGATAGCAGTTAAACTTATTGTGCTGGGTAGAAGTGTAAAGGGCATTGTTAGGATACATACCAAATTTTTTCGTTTTCTGCCACCAGCTCCTACATTCTGTGTTTCGTTTCCCATCATTTGTCTTGTGAGAATATGAGGTGTATGTAGGTTACTTCAAGCACAGTGATTTTTAAGCAGGACATTGTTTTCATAACTGATAAACTTTGAGAGGATGTTTTCAACCTGTGGTTGCAGAGGTTCAAGAACTGTGTGTGAAGTCTGCAAAAGCCAACTAAGGAAAGTGTTCAGTTAGGGTTAAGTTCTCATCATACGGGTTAACAATACCATTGTAAAATGCTTACTGTTGCATCAATCTGAAAAAAATATGAAAGAACGGTTCTCTTTACTTCACTTGGTGCTGCATTTTCTTAGGAAATGTCATGTGTCTTTTCCACTGGGTGCTTTTATGGATTCTTATGCATAGTGCAGCAGCCATTCTGGCAAGTTGAGTTGTGTTACCGCAAGCTTATTTGGTGTGACAGAAGAACCATGACCAGAGTATGTTCAAATTGTGTGATGCTATGCACTGTTACCATCTGTATGGCTCTTAAACTAGGGTGTTTGCAAGAGCTGTGTAGAGGTGTGCTCTGCTTCTTATCTGCTTTGTTAGTGTGCATCTGATCCAGAGAACTAGTTAAACAACTTGTCTGAAAAAGTGTGGTGACATTCTAACTCACCGTATTGGATAATGCTCTGAGTACTTCTGCACAATCCAAGTTGTCTTTAGAAATGCGACCAACTGTGTTACTCTGCTGTACAGTGGGCATGTTCAGGGGATCCTGCCCAGGTCCTGCAGTGGTCGTTGGTTTTCAGGTTGCTCTGCATTCACCCAATTAGTGCCGTTAGAGCACAGGAATACACTACATTTGCCCCTTTCTTTTGAGGTTGGCCTACCACTGGATCCACAAGTGAGTGTTGTGGCAAAGCATGTGTTTCTAAGAATGCTGCCTCACGCAGCGTTTAGAGCACTTCTGAAGGGGCAGTTTTCAAAGTGGCCAGCTCTGGAAAAAGTGTTGCTGTTTGCTTGTGCAGCAATCTGCTTTGACTTCAAAATTTGAAGCACCACTTTGAGTGCTGTAATTGAGCAGGCATGCGTGGCAGAGGCAATGGCAAACCTTTGTGAGGCTGTGCTGTGAGTGAGCACGTATTAGCTCGCTAGTTGGTGTTTGTTGCGGCCAACAGGGAAAAAAACCAGAGAATCAATTTTTGTAGAGCTTTACTTCTTATCAAAAGGAGCATATATTATCTTCCAAGAAATATTGGTTTCTCCTTGCTCAGACAGTGCTTTTCAAAGAAAAAGAATTATTCTTCAGCTGGGGCAGTAGTCAGATAAGTCTTTATGGGAGCTTTTGTATCACGGATCTTTTAGGGTACTTAGTACATTTGGTTTTAGCCTGTTTTGATGTTTTTGTTGTTTTTAAACAAGGATTTGGAACCCAAATAGATAAATTAGCTCTGAGAGGTTCTCAGAGTTGGGTTTTTTTTTGCCTTGATACATCAGGGGTCCCTTTCCAGTCATAGAAACATTCAAGTTGTGAAGTTCAACTCTGAAGTGCAGATTCAAAACATGTAAATTGAGTCCTTTCAAAGAAACTTTAAAGCAGATATACTTACTCCCTGCCCTTCTATACCCACACTTCTCTCACTCCACAAGCAAAAAAACCAGTGTGTTTTCCTAGAATGATTATTTTTTATAGCTCCCTGAAAAACCTAATGAGCATTTCCAGGTTCCGAGTGCTGAAGCTGACTAGAAATCCTTTGCTTCTTAGACACTGACAATTGAAGACTGGAAACCATACAGATAAGAGGCTTTTCCCTAGAATACACCTTGCTTTATTAATCTGCTTGTTCAGCAACAAAATTTTCTGCTCAAATAAATTGCAGTTCTTAATTCTCTTTACACTGATACAGTCAAGAAACTAAGCATTCTGAACAAAGGACATTCCCAGTCTAAAAGCAGCATTGTTAAGCTGTTGCTGGTGGCACAGATGTGCTTCAAAATGTCACCTGTGAAAGATAAAAGCAGCAACATTTCAGGGCAGCTGCATTGAACAAAAGGTCTTCCTTTTGTTGCAGCTTGGAGCATGGTTTGTCCAGGATTACTGTTGTTGCTACCTTGTCAGGCCATGCATGATGTTCTTTAATGACAAATCTTCCTGTGTTTCTCATTACCTTTCCTTTCCTTTTTAAGCTGACATGTTTTCACTTTGCAACACTTTCATAAGTTTCCATTTATTATTTTCTGTGCTACAGAAGCAAAGGACAGTGTATTGGGTAACTTCTGTTAGAACTATCACTTTGAGGGCAATCTAGATAAAATGCTTGGAAATTTAATTTAGAAACAAAACCTGAAAACAGTTTGTTGACAGCAATGCACTGTGTGGCAGAAGAGGAAGGGACTCTGATGTGTGTGGCTGTGAAAGAAGGGAAACTTCCTGTTCTGGGGAAGGACCCACTGGATAGTGAAGAGCTTTAGATCTGTAGTGACCATACACAGTAATGTGGGGAGAAGAAGAGAGCTTGTGGTTTGGAATGTTTATTACAGTTTTGGGTTGGCTACTCATCATCTTAAGTCCTCTCTGCATGAATTTAACTGATTGAAGCAAAAGTTTTTGAAATTTTCACTGCAATGCAAAAATATATTTTTGAAATTTTACACTTGCAAATCAGATAAATGAAATCTCAGGATCCATTCCTTCACTGATGGACTCCAGAGCTTGAAGTTACTGGGCTGATCATTATGCTGGAGTCAAACTTAGGCTTATGCACTTTTTAACTGTATGATTACTTGGTTGTTTTGAAAGTGCCAGTGTCTAGCTCTATAATTTTATGCAGATGGTCATAGGAGAAATCTTAAGACAGATTATAGAATAGCTAAATAAAAAGATAAACTGTTAGATTTAATTTAATCTTTGCTTTCATAGTAATGTTGGCAAGCCAAATGAAACGGCTAAACAAATGAAATGTAACCATGGTAATTTGTATGTGTCAGCTGACAGAGTTGTAAATTTTGTCCTGGATAACTACACAAGTGTTTTTACCAAACATAAAATCTCTTGGTGCTAGTGTTTAGCTATGGATGTGCATAACCATTCTTGCTTTTTCTTAATTTCTTTGTAAATTTGACTTTATACCATAGTTCCATAGTAAGTGTGTGAATAATTCTGTTAATACCGTGTAATAGTCCATGTTTTAGATGCCACTGTACTATGTAGTAGTATAGAGTATACAGTACTACTGTATAATGTTATGTAATATTAATACATACTTTCTAGTGCTCACTGCAGATTTGATATGAAACCATGTAAAAAAGTAACTGTTTGATAACCTTAGAAACCAGTGAGTATCTATTTTATAGAGATATTTCAGAAGTTGCTAATATCTCTAGAAGAGGAATAGTACTTTTAGAAGTAAGTGCATGCTGAAATAAAGAAAAGGCTTAAAAGTATATGTCAATAATTTTTATCAGTATGGAAATTGTTTTACTTGCTCTGAAATCAGTAAACATGCATAATGCTATTAATGAGAATTACAGAGAAATGAGCTTTGAAATAACCCTCAGTTCTTTCTGATGTGAAAACATTCTTGTCTTGCCAGTCAAGTGAATGGTTTCCTTTGAATATAGTTTAAATATTTGAAACTGTAGAATGTGTGAATGTATGCTGCAAATGTGTATTTTCTTACTGCCTGATGTATTTTAACTTTAAAGCAAAATATCCCCATTCTTTCAGGAATGCCTTTACTCCAGTACTACCTACAAGTGTACTCTCTGGTGTTGCTTTGTATTTATTTAAATTTCAGGATATCTACGGGTAATAATAAATATATTCATTGGCTTTGATATAAAGGTATCAAAACCAAAGAGAGAGTAAAAGGCCTATGAATCTCAAAATCTTTCCGCTCTTTCATTACAGCTTGTAACGTTTGGTACCTGAATTCAGTGGAGATGGAGTCCCTCACAGGATACCAGGCAGTACAGAAAGCTTTGAGCCTGACGCTGATGCAAGATCCGTCTCCTATCTCAACCGTTGTCCATTTCAAGGTGTCTGCTCAGGGAATCACACTGACAGATAATCAAAGAAAGTAAGCAAATAAGGATGGGAAGGGATTATCTGTCCCTGTCGGCCACTGTTGATTTGGTGTTCCTAGTTACATTTTGCAATCTCTGTCTCAGAGGATACCAGGATTATAGGAATGATGGTCACTGTGTAAGATAGCTGTAGTACAGGAAAATATATTTTAACATTGAGCGCTTTATTTCCACATGGTATATTTTACCTTTGGAAGGTCACTTTGATAGGACATTTTTTATTGTTATTTCTTAGGAAAGTAATGGCTTTGCTAGTATTTGATATTGAACTTGTTCTGTGAAGTAACTTATCTTCATGATGTCTTTCACTAGTATCATTGAACAGAGCTGAACTTAAGCAGATGATGTATATCTCCAGGATCTGAAACAGTGTTTTGGATAGCCTGTAAAAAACTGTGATAAAAAGTTAATTTATATTTACTTTGTGGTAGCCTAACTAGCACTTGGAACAAACTCTTTCAATTAGAAAAATTACAATAACAAAAGAAGGACAGCAGGAATTCATTAGAGGTTAAAAAAAAAGTGCTGGACTTCTTCATTCCATGGGGTTTGCAATCATTTGTAGCAGATCACAGAACCTTTACCTTAATGGTAATGCCTAGGAGTGTGCATATTTTGAAATGTAATATGATCAAATTATTCTCAAGTTCCACAAAGTTGTCTGTCTCACTAAAATAGTATCTAAATGGCCAGTTTTTAGAAAAAATACATTTCATACTCCTAGCTCTTAGCTTGAGAGTCAGTTTTCCTTTAGTTCAAAAAACTTTATGTTAGTGCTTTAAACATGTATTTATTGGGTTCGAGCAGTTCAGGTGGATTTCAAATTCACTCAAAGATAGCAAAAAAAAATGTCTGTATTAAATTAAGACTAAACACAATTTATTTTTCAGATTAGTTTATTGTTTGGAATTCCAAGCATCTTTACTGTTTCTGAAATTAATTTTCTTTCTTCCTATACAGACTCTTTTTTCGGCGACATTATTCAGTCAACACTGTTATTTTCTGTGCTTTGGATCCACAGGACAGAAAGTAAGTATGACAAGCAGTATTTTTAATACGTTATTTGTATTGTTCTACCAAAAAAACCCAACAAAAAACTAAAACTAACATTTTTATTTCTCCAATTTTTTTTTTTACTGTTTTCTTAATGGACAAGGTGGATGAAAGATGGTCTTTCTGCAAAGTAAGTAGAGTCTCTTTTAACTGAATATTTGGTGTCCTAAATTACTTTTGTCTGAGAAGTGGAAGGGAAAGCATCTGTTCAGAGACAAAAGTCTCTCATATCTCTGTAATTAGACATTGTTTACTTCATCTACACCTCTGCAAATTGGGGTCTAATTATGTGATGGGTGGGGGTGGGAAGTCTGGAGCCAGAGCTCATATGGTTTATTTAGATTGAGGGTCTGTGATTTGACTGTGGTTTCAGGCATTCCAATGATACTTGCTCTCTCAGTTTTGTGTTCCACCTGTCCAGCAAGGCTTAACGTAAGGTTCTCTCACTTAGACTCATAGCTTTAAAAAAAACCCCTCTTCTAGTACATAGATGAAAACACTCCTAGTAATATTAGCGTATGGCATAAATACATGATTACCTGTGGATTGCAAAGTGTTTTCTGTTGAAGGCAAACGTTGTTGTCGCCCCTTAATCAAAAGAAATAACTTACACAGAGAGGCTCAGCACTTGTTTCTGGAAAGGAACAGAAATAGATGGCTTAAATCCTTTTTCCAGTACTCAGTCCACTAAGATGTGTGGCCCTCTAATTCCTCTCTTTGGGCAACCCCTGACACACCACACCACACCACACACCACACCCACACCACACCCACACCACACCCACCCCACACCACACCACACGCCCCCCAAACTAGGTTAGAGAACAGCAGTACCGAATCCGATTAAATTTATCTCCAGGGTTATCAGCATGTCTCTGACAGTAAACAGTACAGGATGCCATATGGACAGAGTAGCAGGAAGGAGACAGTCTGCTTCCCTGATTCTCTCCTGAGCTGGCTGGTCAATCTGTACCACTGTGTTTAGCACCCACATGGAACCTTGTCCATCAGAACAGAGAAGTCTGATATGTGTGCTTGGTTTTTGCAGTATCTTTTCTGTTTTATGAAGTGAGGCAATGCCTATCTGTCAGTTCTCTGACATACTTTGATTGCTGCCCTTGCAGAGTGTTTGGGTTCATTGCCAGGAAGCAAGGCAGTGCCACAGACAACGTATGCCACCTCTTTGCAGAGCATGATCCAGAACAACCTGCCAGTGCTATTGTAAACTTTGTATCAAAGGTCATGATTGGATCCCAGAAGAAGATCTGATGCCTTTCCATCCTTGATTCAGAACTCTTTGCTGGCTTCACTGAAGGAAATCACTGTGAGAGGGAGAAAAACTATTGAGCAACAATGTCTGAATATTGTCATTCCCAATAATGAAAGCAGAGGATGATCTGTGTATTGTGTTTGCAAGACCTCAAGCTTTTATTTCAAGGTGCATTATTTCTTTGTTTTTATATCAGAGGACAAAACAAAAGAAGCTGGGTGCCACCCTAAATCACGTAGCCCTTACCTGAATGAAGCATAAATGAAGAACTTTCCTCCTGATGAGTTCTAATGTATCTTCATATGCTGTTTCTCATAGTTTATTGGAGCAGAAATACTTAGTAGATTGCACTACTTTTTTGTTCAGGAAGTGTTTTGTAAAGCCTCCTCAAAGACACTTGCCATGATTGCATTAATGGTAGTTACAGGCCTTGCAAACATACTTTTAGGAGAGTGATCATCTGAGGAAAACTATTTGCTCTTCCCTATGTCTTTGTGATCAGTGATGAGAATTGAATGGAGAAACGGGAAGATGCATGTGAAGAGAACGTTTGTGCAAGTTGTTTTGTGGTAAGAAAGGAGTGGCAGTATGGAATATTCAGGAAGATTGCTCTGTATTTAGTGTTAAGAAGGCTGAGCTATTTTAGTTTGAAAATTTTTCAGTAGAGCAGAAGTGGCAAAACAAAAAGAGGTGTGAAAATCTCTTCTGTAATTGAGGGGGGGGTTGTAATTTTTTTAATATGGAGAACTAGGCAGGGGAGATTAAGCATTTTATAATTACAGGATAAAAATGAGAGGAAAGCAAAGAGAAAGATTGTATAATTTATGCATTTTCACCAGTGACAGATTATTTATAGTGAATCTCAGATCTTGGTATGCCAGAGAGATAATTCTTAAACTAGACCACTGTTGAACTTTACCTTTAGCACTAATTTGTGTAAGCAAATGTGTGTGTAGGCTGGGCCTTGCTAGAGAAAATAGTCTGATATTTTGTCTTTTGTCTTACAGTGACAACACTCTTCCCATTTTCTGCCTCTGCAACACTGTTTTATTCCCCTACATAATGTGTAACTATATTTACGGACTCTTCTACCCCATTATTTTGCTGGAGTTCTGAGGATTATTTTACCTTTTTTTTTTCATCTATAGGAACTATATTGATTTGTTATTCCTTGAGCTAGAGAATCTGAAAGTGAATTGAATTTATTTTGTTACTTCGTCCCATTTCTTGAGAGCATTTATGTCATGATTTCTGCATCCAGCACACTTGTGCATATCTCTTTATCTTTCTTAACACATTGATATATGAAATGCATAAGAAAGTACTATTTAGCTTTATGGAAAATTGATGCAGTAGGTTACAGTGGAAGCCTGAAGTGGAAGGGAGAGTAAGCCACTGAAATCTCCTGTGCAGTTCCCATTCATTCAAAAAGAGCAGTACTAGACCCCTGTATCAGAACTGATGGTTATAATGCAACTTTAGTGGGGCAAGTGCTGAAAAATTTCATTGCTTCTATTTCTTTCATGTACAGCTGTCAACATTATGTTAAAAACCTGAGGAATAAAATAACATTTTGTATTTTGTATGTTGATAGATGAGCCACTTTATCCACTTGTAGATTTTAATCCTTTTATCTGCCAATTTGAACTATATTTGCCCTGTATAAAATATGTTTTTTTTAACAGCTCTCTCTGTATTTCCTGAAGTGTTGGGGCCATTTTAAACCTTTTTCAGTGACCATAGCTGAAGTGTTACCAAATTATTTGTGTAACTACCAATTTTGTGTAAATAATTTTATGTTTTTTAAGAGGAAAGTGAGGAGGAAGAGAGAGAGAGAAGAAATACTTGAAGTTTGATGTATTTGGACCAGAAAGTGGTCTGTTAGTAGCAGCAGGCATTGGATATCTGTAGAGGGGTGAAGCAATTCAAAGTGCGGAATTCAATAGTTATCCATTGAAGCAAAAAAGGCAAGTACCTCTGATCAGTAACATATAATTCTGTTCTTTTGGCACAGAGGTATACTACTTAACAGTGTTTATGTACCATCCAAAAAAAGAATGCAGTTCTTACAACTAGGAGCTTTGCTCCTTTTATAAAATATGCGAACAAGTTTTCTTTTAATATTCTTTTGGTATAGTAAGGTTCCAGTTGCGTAATCTCATCACCCTGTTGGAGCCCACAGAAATTCTTCAGCTGACATTAAAAGTAGATTTAAGTCCCACTTAGATTTTAAGCTGATGTGTCGTAAGAATTGAAATGAGGAGGATTTTTAAACTATATTTTTTCACTTATGTAGATAATAAATTTTAGTGTATCTTCTTAGACACTAAGTGTTGGCCTTTGGGCTGAAAACAAAATGTCTTTTTTTCCTGTATATTGTCATTTCCATTCAGGACCTTATTTTATATTCCTTGTGCTTTCTCAAGGTGTGCTGAATTCAAAAGCATGAGGGATTGCATGCTGACACTCCTGGTGGTATTTTCTGGGAGTCTAGCTCTACTTGCCAAGTGGGAAAAAAGAAGTTACCCTGTTTCTCAGGGAGATTTTCTATTTTGCATTCCCTTGGATGGTATATTGCCATGTGCATTTGCTTTTTAATGAATTTTAAAATGGACAAAGCAAGATAGTTCAGTATGTAACATTATGTAGTCTGTGTAGGAAAATACTAATGGAACTTACATGTTCATGGCAAATATAAGATTACTTTCAAGATTTTTGGTAGATATGTATATACAATTTCATAACTAATAGCAGCAAGTTGACATATATATTTAGCCAGACTCCAGTTAATGTGGTTCATAAATACGCTATTATAATCATACAGTGTTAAACTACAAAAATGCTAAAAGCCATGCTTTATATTAACGGTTTCATGTATCCAACACTCTCATTATATATTTAGTATTTCTTTCTTGTTTTTTCCTACTAGTGAAAATTTTAAGTTTTTTTCTTCAAACTGTAAAGAAGCATCTAAAAGTCTTCAGTATATAAATGAATGTTCTGTAAATTCTTTGTATAGTCATTTTCTATGCTCTTCAGATACCACCTCTTTCAGATTATAATAAAATTACAAAAGTGAAATTCCACCACTCGGTGTCACAGGGCAGTCTATTCTGAATGAAAGTTACCTTCTGGCATTTGAAATCAGCTAATAAGCAAAACCTTCTTCATGAATGAAGAATAATTTGAGTGCTTAGTTGTAAGAAATGTTTGAGATTTCTTTCAAGGACTTCAGATGAGCCTGTTAGTGGTTCAAGTCAGTTGAAGTGTATGATTTTCCTAGTTAATTTGTGGTTATAATGGTATAAAAGTATCTATTGCTTGCACTGCATATTTCAGTGTAAGAAGGAAGAATATGATACCATCCTCTGAGATACTGTAACCATTTAACTTTGCCTCCACTCTGCTTACACTGGAAAACCTTCCAGAGGGGGCTGAGAAATTCAACCCCTGTCTGAAACAGTGCATCAGCCAGACAGTGAAGATTGAGTTATATACATGCTTTATCAGGGTTATTTCTGAGACTGATAAACTCTGGTATGTCATGCTTATGCCCTTTCTGTGAGTGTCTTGGTTTGAAAAAACAGGTGTCTGCTGAGGAAGGCAGGAGCCTCTCCTGAAATGGAAAATGTAAACCCCCTCCCTCTGAATTGTTATAATTTTGAAATTAAGGGGCTCTCAGGCAAAGATATGGGAAAAGGAATAACAGTTCTTTATTAGGGGAGAAAATGAAAATAAAAAATGCAATGATACAAAACAACACTGACAGAGAATATGACCTAACACCCTGTTGTTCAGGGTGTTGGTAGCAGTCCAATTAAATGCTGACTGCACTCCTCCTGGAGTTACAGATATGGTTCTGTTGAAGCAATGATCCTGTAGAAGGGTGTCTTTTTTCCTCTGAAGGCCCAGTCGTGGTGTAGATGGGCCTGGTCTTCCTCTGGGAATCCAGTGGAAAAGAAAGCTGCTGCTCTGGTCTAACAGGAGATAATAGAATACAGACCCCCACCCACATTTTGCAACCCAGGACAGTGAGGCATACAGTGGCAGGAATTTTTCATTTTGTGTGCTTGACTGTCATTCATCAGCACCAGTGATTGTGAGGTTTATGCATGGTTGTAAAGTGACATTTGTCTATTAAAAGTGTTGGTCTTTTATTAGAATGAATTATAATGTGAAACAGATGACAAGGATGCAATAGTAAAATGATCTTTTGTGTCAGGAGTCCATTCTCTCCTGTTAAACTTTTGTCCTTGAACCTGGATGCCATTGTGTATGTGTGCTGCTGTTAGGTGTATTTTAAGGCTGCTCTGGAGTGTCTTTGCTCCAGTGGAAGAAAATCTGCTTTCAGGATTCATCCTAGATAGTTTCACACTAGTTCATATGCAGTTGTTCTTATACCAGTGTTCCCTTAGTATGAATAACTGTCCTCTCCTTGAGATATTTATAGCAGGAGTTCTGCTCCCCCTCAGTCTTCTTTTGGCAAGGCTAAACAAAAGCATTTGGCTTTTATGTGCTTTTGTGTTTGAAAGGCTGTTTTTTGTCCAATATGTAATTTGTTTGGAGAGACTCTTAAGTATACAGCCAGACACTGTATAAAAAGGGGCAGTAGCTGCTGCCTTCTAATTTTTAAAATGTTTGTATTAGAAAACTCTTGCAACCAGAAAACTCGGCCCACAAGATAGGCAGAGTAAATCTTTCATCTGCTTCTGCTGTTGATACCTAGAATAAAGGTTACAGTAATGTAAACTGTATCCAGGGGTGTGGACGAAGGAAATTACAAGGGCAAATAGCTGAAGAAGTTTTTAAAAGCCAAAGTCAGAAACAGGAAACTTGCAGGAGACCTAGCGCATCTGGCAAGCTACCAAGAGGGCAATGGGGAGCTTTTTAGAGAATTAAAGGATCTTACTGAATAACTGAGAAGGGATTTGCATCACATGTCACAAGGGATATCAAATCGGAACTGTTCCCTTTCTTTGAAGACATTTACTGTCTCACAAGGTACAAATATTTGGACCAGTTTTAATGTTTTATTATTTGCAGAATCACAGGGTGGTTGAGGGTGAAAGGGACCTAAAGAGATCATCTAGTCCAACTGTGTAGCTTAAATAAGGACATCTAGAGCCATTTGCCCAAACAGCTTAAATTTACCAGGGGTAGAATCTCCAGTCTCCCTGATCAATCGGTGGTAATTCTTAGTCACCCTCACAGTGTTTCTTAATATTCAGAGCTAACCTCCTGAGTTTCAGTTTGTGCAAATCACCTCTTGTTCTGTTAAGGAGCATCACTGGAAAGAGTCTGGCACCCTCCCTGTATTTATACACATTGATGAGCTGAGCCCTCTTTGCCAGGGCACAGCTTCCACAGCCTCAGTTTTGTGTCATCAACAAACTTCCTGAGGATACACTCTGCCTGATCATTCATCCAGATTATCGATTAACAAGGTATGAAGGACCCGACCCAGTATGGACCCCTGGGATAGACCACTAATTACTGGCCTCCAACTAGACCTTGCACTGCTCATCAGCAGTGTTGGTGCCCAGCTATGCAGGCAGTTTTCAATCCACTTTACTGTCTGCCTATCTATGTACATCAACAGCTTGTTTATGAGGGTATTATCTGAGACAGTGTCAAAGGCCATACTGTAGTCCAGGAAGACAGTATCTACTGGTTTTCCTTGAGCTAAGCCAGTAATTTCATCAATTACTTCCCTTTAATGAAGGTAGATCAGCGATTACTTCCCTTTAATGAAGCCATGCTGACTCCATGGAGGTAGACAGGGGGCTGGAGTACCTCCCCTGTGAAGACAGACTGATGTGGATGGTGTAGCCTAATAAAGTGAAGGCTCCTGGGAGACTATAACCTTCCAGTACTTAAAGAAGGCTTACAGCAAAGATGAGGAAGGACTTTTTATCAGGCAGTTTAGTGATCAGATGATGGGTAGCAGAGTAATAATTTTAAAGAGAAAGAGGGTAAGTTTAGAAGAAGAAATTCTTTGAGTCAAAGGGTGGTGAGGCACTGGAACAGGTTGTCTAGAGAAGCTGTGGATGCCCCATCCCTGCAAGTGTTCAAGGCCAGGTTGAATTGGGCTTTAAGCAAGCTGATCTAGTGGAAGATGTTCCTGCCCTTGTAGAGATCTTTAAGGATCTTCTCCAACTCAAAAGCATTCTATGATCTATGATTCTGTGGCCCACAAACAGGTGGTGCTTTGCCTTGTAAAGATTTCTTCTCTAGGTACACAATTTCAGCAGTGTTTTATGGAAGGTGTTCTGGGTTGCAGCTAATCACTGGTGCCTTTACAGTAAGGTAAGCAGTGTTTACGAATGGATTCACCTCAGATTTCTGCATGACCTTTTAAAAAAACTAATTCTTTAAAATCATTAAAGTACATTTTCATAATGTAAAAATCTTCTAATGTCTTTAGTAGTGTTATTTGAAGAGTTGTTTAAAAAGCAGAACTTGCTTTTTATGTAACAATGAATTATTTTCTGTTACATACTGTCCTCAAATTTTGTTTTAAATATCTACAACTATTTGTATCCAGTCTAATTAAATCTGACTTTTGGATTTTTTTCTGTTGCCACCTGTATTATGTACAACTTCTAACCACTTCAGTCTCTTTCCATAACAAGTATCTGGTACCAGGTATTTGAAATAGCACTTAGAAGTCTGTTAAGGATTTTCATGAGGAAATGTGGCTTAACATGTGTCAGTATGTTCTGTCACAAGGCAATTAAGAAAAAATCCCTAAAGGTTGTATTGAGCATGTAGTGGCATAACTACAGTATATGGTATATACATGCACTGAAACTTGTATGTAAATTTGTTCCTGTCAAATATATATTTAGTCTCATGCCAGTTGAAGAGCATCCAGATTTGGTATTTTTTCTGTATTACTTCTTACATGGGACCCATCCACACCTGTTTCTCAGCAGAAATGGAATAAACATGGTTTGAATCTCTTCAGTGGCAACAGTTAGTCACCTTTCACTGTAACTTAAAACTTTTGTGCCTTATTTTGTTAGAATAACATGTTGAATAGCTCAGAATTTTGCTTGCTCCTACCTATGATACATTTGTTAGGTGTGGAATACTTCCTGGCCTAAACCTTAGTCCAGTTCGTTGAGTGACATGCAGTCTGAGTGTACATTTTCCTGTGTGCACTGTCACACAATGTATTGGTTTTGCATGCCCTGGCTTTTGGTAGCAGGGGGGCCACAGAGGTGGCTTCTATGAAAAGCTACTAGAAGCTTCCATCATATAAGCCAATCTCTGATGGGTCTGAAGATGGACATGCTGCTGGCCAAAGCTGGGCCAATTAGAAAGGTTGGTAATGTCTCTGTGATAACATATTTAAGAACAGAATCAAAAAGTGAGGGCACAGTTTTCCCTAGCCAGAGATGCCTGTATAACTTAGATCAAAGTTACAAAGTGCTTATATAGCTTGAGTTATAATATAGCTGTATAACCTGATGTATCTATATAAACTGATATCAATATAACCCAAAGAATGACTTTTTATGTATCTGTATAACCTGATACCTGTGTAACCTGAATAATAGTTTTTTATACCTATATAGCATGATACAACTTTTTATACAAGGTATTGGCTAGTATATGGTTAACTAATTGCTTACTGCTGAATAGACAAAAAAGGAAGAAAAAATCACCAGGTGGATAGCTTTAGAGATAGATAAGTATAGTGCTAATGAAAAATTGGCAAATACAAAGCCAGTTAGCCACAAACCAAAGAATTTAGGCCGGTTAAGAGCAGACACATCAAGGAACACCATAACTGTACATGATCCAAAGACAAAGTTGAAAAGTTCAGATGTGAGGAAGACTTTGGAAGCCTTCATCAAAGATCCCTGATAACCCCCAAATTGGGGAGATGTGAGCACAGTGCAAAAGAACTAATAACCCTGAGATCATACAATGTAAATTAGTTCTGGCATGTACATGATGATGTTGTAGCTGCATAATGATGCTAAGCAATACTTACTGTATAAATATACCACAGTGTGGAGGCCTTTGAGCCTATTAGGGAAACTTCTAGGGTATTTCCTTGGAAGAATTTACTAGACACTTCGAGAATATCTCACTCCTCAGGGTGAGTCAAAAGGGGCTTCTCCCATGATGCCCTGCGACATTATGTTAATCTGTGCTTTCCGCATAGGTCACTGCCCTTTGCCCTGCCCTTGTACTACCCCTGTGGTCCCATATGATTGGCTCCTGACTCTATAGTTAACTCAGAGCCCTGCACTGTTTGCCTTTGTCCCTGGAATCCTTCAGCATGACTACAATAAACCTCACTGGAACTCTATACAGAGACCCTTTCCATTTTTCTTCACTGACCTATCTGTGATGTGTGTGTGTGGATTGAGTGACTGTCTGTATTTGCTTTCTCGGAAGACACTTTTGGGAAGGTAGCAGCTAACACCATCCATATTGCCACATTGCTATACCACAGCACTTGACAAAGGAGAGTGAGTTAGGCAAAGCTATCTCACACGCCACCACTGGCTGCAGTAAATAAATACCTGCTCTATAGAGCAGGTCTATGGGGATTTGTTTCCAGCCTATCTTTCAGGCATCACAGAGGAGGAGGTGAGAACATGTGAGGGAAAACAACATGGCAACACCAAGGTCAGTGGAGAAAGGAGGGGGAGGAGGTGTTTCAGGTGCCAGAGCCAAGATGCAGGCTGTGGTGATTGGAGACCAAGGTGAAGCAGCTGTCCCCCTGCAGCCCATGGAGGAGGTGATCAAGCTAGAATGGGTGGATGCTTGGAGGAGGCTGTGAAGGAGGCTGTGATCCAGTGGAAGACCTGGTACAGAGAGGGTGCCTCTGCTTCCAGGCTGGAGCAGCCTGTCCTTGGAGGACTGCACCACATGGAAGAGTGACCCATGCCACAGCAGTTTTGGGAGAAATGCTGTTTGTGAGATTAGACCCATGCTAGAGAACTGTCTCCCATGGGAGGGATCCCACAGTCTCACAGGGGAAGGACTTCTCTCCCTGAGCAGTGGAAGAAGATCTGGGGTGATGAACTGACCAAAATCCCCATGCCCTGCCTCCCTGCACTGTCAGTGGGAAGAAGGAAGGAACTGGGGGGAAAAGGTGTTTTAAGGGCTTATTTAACTTCTCATTATCCTCCTCTGATTTGGTTAGTAATAAATTCACTTTGCAACTTTAAGTTGAGACTGTTTTGCCCTTGAAGTGTTTTCTCACAGTCCTTATCTAAACTCATGAACCCTTTTTCTTTATTTTCTTTTTCTTAATTTTTTCTTTTCTCTCCTCTGCCCAGCTGTGGCAGGGGATAGTGAGCAAATTGACTTTTTTGATGCCTGGTGTTGAGCCAGTGTCAAACTATGACACACAAAGGCTTTTTTAAAGTACTGTGTTCACAGTAAGGCTATCTAGGTGTATGTACTTTCAGACTCAGGCAAGATGTTATTGAGATGTAGTAGATAAGATTTTTAGAAACTACTGGAAAGATATAAAAATCCCACGAGTTTGAAATCATAGAACCACTAAAAGAAAAACAATGTAAAATATTTGACAAGACTTGATTATTTTTGTTTAGTGGAGGTGATTAATCATGTATAAAATGGTAGATGCTTGCATGGAAAAATCCAGTCTCAAGTTTTTGTCTTTACACTAGACAAGTAGTTGTTGGCAAATAACCTGTCAACATTAATACTATGGTAAATTTGTCAATTGTGATTTCTGAGGTGGGTAAAGTTGTAGGGGTTTGTATCAAAAAAATCATGACTTTGACCTGTTGCTCCTATATTTAATTGCAGTAGCTAAGGTTGACTTAGTATCTCTGGACATGTATCTCTGTTTTTATGTGTTTGTATTCCAGAGCTGTCTTTTGTGTCCTTAAACCTGTGTGCTCTTATAACCATGTAGAATCTTGCCCACTATCCTCAAGGACCTTTTGGCTGACTGAGAAAGGAAGAGCAACATGCCTAAAGAGGAAGGTAGCAGTATGGTATGCTGTGAAAAAAACATAAAACTTGAGCCTTGGAAAGGGAGAATTAGTGTGAATTTAATTAATTTTTTTTCTTATTACTTATTTCTACTCTAGTTAAAATATAGGTGGTTGAGAGTTTTTAATTTGCCTTATATTTACATTTACATAAGGAAATGATATGCAGTAATATAGGAAAAAATTGAAAAGTGGAAGATCTAGACAAAACCATGTCATTAAGGAAAATGTAAAATCCTTTCCCTGTTAACAAAAAATGCTGACCTTGCGAAATAAAAAATTGCAAAGAATACTCAAAAATCAGGAAAAATGTCCCAAAGGCTGCATTGTGGTTTTGAAGGTTCTTGGGTGCTAGACCTCCAGAAGTTCCTCAGGGTTAGAAACATGCTCATTTTTAAAACTTATAGCTCAGCTTCTCATGTAATTAGCCACGTCTGAGACCTTTATGAGAATACAAGGCAAAGTGCAGTGAAAAAAACTCAATAGAAATTTTGATTTTTTTTTTTTTTTGGCTTTTTGTCTCCTCCTGATCTGACCTCTTGCCAGCTGATGGAATGATGCTGACACAAAGTTGTAGTGATGCAGCTCACAGTAGCAAAGCCCTATGGAGGTTTCTTTGGGAAGTCACAGCTTCTTGGGAGCTGTTACTCTGTTTTTCTACTTCTTGGTTTGCACCTGTTTGCGATGGACACCAGAGCAGCACAATGGGCAGCAGCAGGTACAGGAGAAGGGACACACATGGAGAAGGCAGAGCTCGTCTGAATGGCGGTTGTTCTCCCCCAGCTGATCTTGGAGCTGCTGATGGGTGTTGGCAATGCAAGCAGTGACAATCCCACATAGCCACTCTCTCACTCTCCTGCAGTGAGATAGGGGAGAAATTTGGAAGAGTGAAAGTGGGAAAACTCATGGGTTGAGTTGACAAAGACAGGTTAGTAGGTAAATATTGGAAAGCAAGGCAACGCCAATGATGGGAGGAAAGACAAGGAGGACTCCATGGAATCAGAAGGCTAATTAATTACTTTATTATACTAAATTATTCTATACTATATTACACTACATCTAAACTTAAACTGCACAAGCACTCAACTCAACTGCACAGAATCTCGTGACTGTCAGCCAACAGTCCTGACACACACCCATGGATTCAATTGGTCAATGATTAAAAACACTCACACCAGAATCCAATTACCAATTCCCTTCAGGTAAACAATCTTCCACAATGCATTCCACTTGTTCCAAAACACAGGAGCAGTAAATGAGATAAGAATTGTTTTTTCTTTCTCTGAGGCTCAGAGAATGTGAATCCCAGAAAATCCTTGAGAAGTTGCACCTTGCTTTGCTTTGTGAAGAGAAATGCAGCCACAGGTAAAGCAATAGCTGCATGAGCAAGCAAAGCTAAACAAGGAATTGGTTCAGTATTTCACATGGTAAATCTGTTCTTCAGACAAGTTGTGCAGCTGTGGGATGAATGAGTTCATGGTGCACTGGGTGAAGATCTTGCTGAAGGGCAGAGCTTACGCGTTGCAGTGAACAGGGCCACATCTGGCAGTGATTAAACGGATTAAATTTAAGAAGCCTAACTGCACCCAGGATGGAGTAGCACTTGACACAAGTCTAAATTGGGTGAGGAGTGGCTGGAGAGCTGCCTTGCAGGAAGGGGGCAAGGATTGCTGACTGGCAGCATCAATATCATGCAGCAGTGTGAGCCTGGGCAGCCCAGAGGGCAAACCATGTCCTGGCATGCATCAAACAGTCAGTCCAAAGAGGTGATTATCGTGCTGTATTCACTGTTGGCACAGCCTCACAATTGGGTATCATGTGAGGTAAAAAGGATGTGAAGGTTGTTGAATGCATCTCGCGGAGGGCAGCAAAGCTGAGCAAGAGACTGGCAGGTATTTTCTCTGAGGAGCAGCTAAGGACACTGGGCTTTATGTAGTTTGGAGAGAAGGAAGCTTGGGGGTGACTACAGTGCTCTGCATTTCCTTAGGAGGGGTAGTTGAGACATGTGGTAGCCAACAGGTGGCCTGGGGGCCTCACGGTTACAGATAACCCTAACTGAGTTATATTGACTCAACCAGTCTAGGCTGTTAGGGAACCAGTTTAGGTCATTAGGGACACAAACAGCTATTGGCCAGTAAGCCAGGTGGTAATGAAATTCAGCCAATGAGGACCAACCATGTGGTCTAACTATGTCTAAGCTATGTAAACATATCTAAACATGTCTATGACTATGTAAAAGAAACTCAATAAAGTTGGTTGCTGTGGCATGAACCTCAAATGTTGTGTCATGTGTCTGTCTTGAATAGCCAGGCCACGGGGATAGCAGCAGAGATGGAACCCCAGCAGAGGAGGGCAGCCAGGGAGAGCTGCTCACAGCGGGGTTTGCTGCAAAGGTCTGGACTGTGTAAATAGAAAAAGACACTGGGGACATGGGGACACAAGTTTCCACTGAAGAAAATGCTGTGGTATTGGTATAGACCCTCTTTTTATGCAGACAGGGGATAAAACACCTATCTGAACAGGCTCTACAAGCCTTGTTGGGGCTTGAGAAGCCTGGGGGACACAGCGGCAGACAGCTCCACTGTTAGTGCCTGAGGGGCTGGAGGACCCTACTGGCTGTGAGTGGCCCTGGGAACCAGTGAACCAGAGCCACATGCCGCCAAGAGCGGGCAACAAGTCACATCGTCTAGCAACAACCGTCTACAGCCAGAGCCCAACACAGTCTTCTGAACCAACCACAGCAATGCTGAGAGTCACCATCCTGGGGGGGCTCCAAGCGGCCACCCCCGCTCTGGGACTAGGGAACAGGGCATGGGCAAGGTAGCCATGGGGAGCAACGGGTGGTGCCTTCCCAGCTGCTGCAACCTGCTGTGGCCTGCTTGCCTGTCGTAGTGCAGGTGCCCAATGCACAGAGCAGACCCAGAATTATTTACCAAGTTGAAATGCATTGAGGAAGGCTTCTTTGGTGAGGTCTTCCAAAGAACTGATAATCAGACACAGCAAGGCAAGTGATGATAGAAATTCTTAGCCAAGAAGTTTCCAGCAGTAGAAAGATACAATAACAACCAACAGCTTGCTAAATTTTGAAATGTCTGGCATTATGGAATTTAAGGACCATATCTGTGAGTTGTGAAATTGATGATTGCCAAGTTTTTTTTGACATTGCTGTAAACTTTGAATTAACAAAAACCACTTAGATTTGATTATGACTTACACAACTCTTACGAAAGTCTGCTGTACTAAATGTGAAATTATCTTGCAGCATTTAACTATGC